GACTGACCCCCTTGATCCAAGTGTCCCACCATTCTTTATCAGCGTGAACTAAACCTGTTGTGGTATCAACAGCAGGAGCTCCAGAGGAGTCTCTTATCTTTTCAATAGCCCAGTAAGTCTGCTTGAGCTGAAATTCAGTAAAAGCATAGTCAATAATGAAATACTTCTGAAGTAAAGATTGATGAATAAAAGAATGAAAGGTATACCTCTTGGATGTGATTCTTCAAACAAAGCAGTGGCTCCTTGGTTTTCCATCATTTGTTTTAGTTGATAAGAACCTGCTTCCAAGCTTCCGCCTTCAGCCCTCCATCATGCACCTTTCCAAGATCCGTTTGATGACAAAACTCGTCAATTAACCATACAGTGCACTTATCAGGCCATACTCCGCCACTAGTAACGATTTCATCATTGTCATTGTCATCATTTTCATTATCTTGCTTCTTTTCACTATCTTGCTTCTTTTCATTATCTCCTTTATTTTCGTTTGTTTTCTTCTTTTCATTGGTTTTATTCTTATCATTTGATTTGGTTTCTTTCGTTTTGATTTGATTGGTTTGGGATCCTGATTTTGTTTTTTTGTTTGATTTCTTTTTCATCGGAGCAGGCTTCATTGAAAATGGTTGATTGGTGGCTCCTTAACAATTACCACCGGTGTCCGAGTCATTATCCGACATGGTGGAGTTGGTCGGATATGATGAGATGAAGACAACTGATGATTGAGTGCAAGAAGTGAAGAGTGGTGTTGATGGTATGGGTTCATAGGGTATGTGATGGTTTTGGATAGGTTTATGACCTTCCGTACGGTGAACAGGGACTTGTCCCAATTGTCAAAGAAGTCAGAAAGGGCAAAAATAAAAAAAAATCGCTATTATCAAATTGTAGAAATCAAGGCAAAAAGCAATTTTTATAAGCATTCTGTACATTACAGAATGCTTGTAAATAGCAAATCAAACACTTTTTATAGAATGTGATTTCTGTGCTGTGTAAAATGCAATTTTGGGTCAGAATGTGCTTAAGTGAACACGCTCTAAAGGATCTAACTTGTCCTCTTTGGCTTCATAATTGATATCAATTGAAAGCCAATAAGGATTTGGAGTTGGAAAAGAGCAATCTTTGTGTTGATTATCTCAAGTGATCTGAAATACTGAGAGAGATTCTACACATTGGGATTCATTTTCTGATTGTAACTTATCAATGGTAAGAGTCTGAGATGAATCAAGAACGGAATTCATGGTAAAAGTTTATGAATCAAGAACAGAATTGATAAGAGTCTGAGATGAATCAAAAACAGAAGAAGATTGTGAATTGAATATAAGGTTGATTTCAGCACGGTTTTGAGTTAAATCAAGTGAGAAAGGGCTTTCTGATTGGTTTCCGGAAGTGGTAGGAGTTATCACTGTAAGGTTGGTCATGCTTTGGGTGATCCTATGGGCTTTCCACCATTTCTTTTGAGCATGTGACGTGTTGCTTTTCTTTGGCATGTTTTCAACTTTGTTTAAGGCCAATTTGGTGGGTTTTGAGCGCGTGAAGTGTTCTGAATTGAGGTGGGGAAGGTCTTGAAGGGAAATCTTGAGTATGCATATGTATGTACAACATACAAAAAAAAGCACCACATATTGCTGGTCACAACTCTTCCTCATTCCAGACCAGGGCCAGCTTTAGGGCTGTTTTGGGTAATTCTGTGGTTGGGTCTTGATGATAACAACTGTAGTCATCAAAAAAATCCCAAATAAATTTCTACAGTGGCCGTGGACGGCCAAAGTGGACAAAACATCAAATATGCAAAAATCTCGATGAAGCACCCTTTGAAAGCCCCGTGGAACATGTTCCAAGCTCAAGTCCGCTGCGCCGGGCAGCACTCTGCCCACAATTGCACCCTAGTCCCCAAGTATATGCTCAGCATACGGTGTAGATCTCCTACGCA